TCCATTTTGGCATTATCTGTCCAGGATTCTGGTGGCTTTCCTGCCTTTGTTATCTGAGAGTTACTCGAATCTCACGCTCTCTGTGTTTTTGCGTGTAGTTTGCTTTCTAGAAGAAGGTTTTTAGTAACAAGGATGAAATAATGGAGGGATTAAAGACTAATTTTTTCCTAGAGCTTTGGTCAAAAATTTGAACGGTTTGTTTTGTGTCTGCGTAACATTTAATCTTTTTTTTTTTTTTTTTTAGATTTTGCCACGACACTGGATACCACATTTCTTTTTTCCTCGCTTGAAGAATGTTGTTGTATATTCCGAGATTTTAAATAAGCACATGAAGGTAGTGGTGACCGAACGCACATGCCGCCTGATTGATAAGCACTTCGGCTTGGATTCATATTTGCTGGAAACTCCCGAAATTGATATTGCTTCCAGGTTCATTTCCCCGTTTATTTAGAATTCTAAACATTATACCAGTACATGGAACAGAAAATTACTTGCTTTTTTGACAGCTTGCTATGGCGATATTTTATATGTCTCCCAAATTTTTGCATTGTTTTATAACTTAAAATTGCTTAGACTTGGAAACAGGCTGAAGCGTGAAATATTGTTGACGTTAGCAAAGGGTACGTATTACCCCGACGACCAGGAAAGGCATGATTTTATAAAACGAAAATATGCGAAGTTTGTGATACCGGTAGAGGAAGCTGAATGGATTGGCTTGGATCTGAACGAAGCTTGCAGGTAAATTATATCATATACAGTAAAGAACTTTAAAAAATGAATAAATTCCATCTTTTTTGGGTCCGAATGAAGTGAAAAATGCTTTGGAGTTCAAGACTATTTTCTTGCACGCAGTGTTAGCCCACGGCTTTCCCTCAAAGAATTTTTGCGCTAGCGTTTGTATTTCTTAGTGAAATTTATTCCAGAATTATTCGGTTTGTTCTAAGATATAGTGAAAATGAGATTTTTCCTATAATTTTTTTTCCTGATCCTGTTTTGTTTTCATTAATTACAGACAATCTATTCCAGGAAGCAGCAAGAAATAGAAGAAAGTGTTAAGCCGGAACCGGAGAAGTATAAATTCGAATTAGAACTGGTAAAACGCCTAGCGAGTGGTGATGAGGATCCAGATAAAGATGAAATCGTTAAAGAACTGGAATCAGAATCAGTAGTTGCTGAAAAAGCGAAGAAACTGATGAGCAGCGCCAAGAACTTAATCAGTCGGGCTCGATAAGTGCGTTGAAGTGGAGCACGTAATCATTCACAAGTGCCGGGTTTTTTTTTTTGTCTGAGTGAGATTTTAAGTGTCGTAGATTGGC